TTTTATTGTTTTATATTTTTTTTTATTGTATTATTTCCCTTCTACGCGACTTTACCGAAAGAACCAAAAATATGAATCCCTGCAGTCACGAAAGCTTTAAATCAAAATTTAGCCTCATGCTTGCTTCGGAAGGGAAACATTTCACTGTTTTTTTACTTGAGTGAAACCTTGGAGGTCGGATGTCGACTGTGCAACATTCGCAGTATCTGTGTACGTGTGGTGAGATCAACTGCATTGGCTGCGATGACCACCAGACCCATCTCCCCGTTTGTATTCATGTCTATACCCTATATCAAATGTGTCATCTCGCTGGCCGCAAACGCAAACAACCATTCTCAACGCACAGCAGCCACCTATCGGCCTCGTATCTCACACCTTCGCCACGTGTCGCGATGCTACGTGCGTCATCTCGGGCAAGCACGCGCAGAGGATTGCTCACCCTCCCACTGTCATGATGACCTTTCCTTTCTTTCCTTAATAAATGGACCTGTACACACACACACACAAAATATATTTAAAAAACTGCCCCCGTCCCCTACGGCTGCTGTGACTGCGTGCTCGCGGTCAACATGACTCGGCTTCACAATGTTTATTCATCACCTACGATGCATTTGCCGTGACCCTGTTTCGGAGATATGAGTCGAGCGCCTCGGAGCTTGCACTCCCAATTACCCTTATCATCCAAAGTGGCATTCCTGCAGAGGACAAGCCTTACCATTGTGCGATATCCACGCCTCGGCGTTCCCCGTTCAATCTATTGCGCGTGTGCCGTGCCGGCCCTTCAATAGGTGCTCCTCGCTAACAGCACTTGCCCCGACATTCTGTTAAGACTTTACGGGGGACCTTTGCCTTGTGTGGGGATACGGTAGTGTAGCGGTGAGCGCACTCCGCTGCGAAGTCGGCGACCTTGGCTTCCATTCCCGACTCGCGGCCAACACCGGTGACGATGATCTGAATCGGTCCTGGCCCTCCGCTAGGTCGACTCAGCCTCAAACTAGTACCTGGTGTGATGTGTAAACATCGCCACCGGGGAGACAAAGGCGGCCGGGCGTGGTGCTGGCCACCCATCAGTTCCTGTGCCGTGCCAGCCTTCTTCATATGTGATCGCGAACGGCACTTACCCCAACAGTGTGTTAAGGCTATATAGGGGATCTTTGTCTTGTTGTCTATGGGGAGCGGCAGTGTGATGTTTGGTGCACTGCGCTAGGAATCCGGCCACCCGAGTTCAATTCTCACTCACAACCAATAACAGTGGCGAGTATATGAACTGGTCCTTGGCCGACTCAGCCTTACTTGAGCATCTGGTGTGATGTGTAAACATGAGCACTGGGGAGACAAAGGTGGCAGATCGCACCACCTCTTCACATAGAAACAATCCATTCCATGCACTGGCGACGAGACATCAGCCACACTGTTAATAAGACACATTTAGCCACCGTGGTTTGCGGCATAGAATTGGCGATCGGTTGACTACACAAGATTTAGAAGTGAGTAGTTTGTCGAGATTGTTCCTCACCACAGGGAACTCGGTCCGCTGTGGCCAGTCCCGGGTGTGGTAGTGCGCCTTGGTGTCTACATCTTTTGTAGTCATTTTTGCATTACTTTAGTATAAATACATGTTAATTTTGATTCATATGTTGTTTTTTCTGACTTTATGTGAACGAAAAGACAAATTCGCCCGTTTTATTATTGAAAAAAGGTAAATTTAAAAATATCACTGTTCTTGTCACAAAAGCAAAGTTTGTGGGGAATAATAGACATTTTCTGTATTTTTGAGGCATAAGCAATTAGGAAAAACACTTACTACCCAGGAACAAAAACATTGTTACACAGTGTTTTCAACCATTGGAAAGCAGTTTATTTTTGGGGCTCCCCAATATCTGAGGTCCCAGGCTGAATTCCCTATAAAGCCCCTCTGATAATTCGGCTCTTGAATATTTTTTGCCACGATATGACCTCTATAGAAACAATTTGGATATAATCAGATTCTCTACCAACATAGAGGCCTACACGATCTAACCCCACGGAAACAAAAATTCTGAATCACAGCACGTTACTTTTACGGGGCACATCATTAGGAGTAGATCCATTGATAAACATCAATTATTGCACTCTCTGCACTGCATCGAATCGTGCGTGTGAAATTCTATCGTTTGAGAGTCGTGCGAAGTCCATTCCGATGTTACATTCGGGATAATGGAGCGAGCGAAACTGTTAAAAAAAACAGAGATCGAATTGTATTTCGCCACTGCAAGAGTAGACCAAATACGATACCCTCTCGAGCACCGCCAACTGGGGATGCTTCCACCAACATTTTTGTTCACTGAAATATATTTCTGGAAACTAGTTCTGGCAACATGAGATGAAGCTCACTGCTCAATTGCTTTCACATGAATCATTTTTAACAGCGTTGTTTTGAGTGCATTCGTGATTGATTCGAATATTTTCCAAGTTGCACTGATGTGGCGAGAGAGCGTGACTTGCAATCACAAGGTTGCGAGTTCGAATCCGGATTGCGGTCGATATGAGGATCATTAAGATGCCTATTAAACTATGCACATTCGACAGTGTTTGGCCGATGGGTAGACTTGATTCTGCAATATTAATGTGGAATATGCATCACTGGCTCTGAAGGATAAGCACAAACGCAATACTGTGTGCAGTGAGACACCTGACTTGGCATTATGGCCATCATTCATTGTGGCATTTGTTGTTGACGTGATGACTATCAGAATAGGTTTTCCCCTTTTATCTGACAACAAAACAGGTGTGTTAACTTGTTAAAACACCAAACTGAAATCTTTTACAAGGAATCATGTCTGCATTAACCACAATACTTGTGGTCAAAATGCAAAAAAAAAACATACTCTGATAATATGCACTATCAAAGTAATGGTCCCATGGTTCCATGATGTAGATGCTCACCCCGAGCTCTCATTATTCTGATAGTGCATTGTATTTGGGCTGTACGCCTTTTGGCGTCCTCTGGTCTAACACCGTTTGAGACCAGGCTCAAAAGAAAGCTGTCTCTGGTGTGGACCAATCAGTTTCAAAGACAATGCATATATTATCAGAGTATGTTTTTTGTTTGAATTTTGACCACAAGTATTAATGCAGACATGATTCCTTGTAAAAGGTTTCAGTTTGGTGTTTTAACAACTTAACACCTTTTTTGTTTGCCAGATTAAAGGGGAAAACCCTATTCTCATATTTTGGTACTGGCAAAGGAGGTCCCATAATGATGGCTATCGTTACAGTCTTCATTTCTCGGGCCTCGTAGGTGTCTCCGCATTGCCACCAATGGAGCCTCCACCGCGTGTGTTTTTTTGCGAAAGATTTTGCTAAAACGAGCCATCGCCAAGATGGGAATGATCCTGTGACAACGTAGTCGTCTGCATATTGTTGTGTACCGCCACCTTGTGGTGTGGTGACGATCATTCAACAGGCAAAATAAATAAGTCGACAAGGAGGCTACGTACATTGACGTTTCTCCACATGAACAAACACTTAAACTATTTACACAACCCATTGACCCAATAGCTTTCTGGGAGTGCATAATTTCAGCAGCACTGATTCAGTACAAGCAAACACTGGCTGGTTAACTTACAGATGTCAGAGGCAAGGACTGTCTCTAAGTTATGGGTCCAAGGCAAAACAAAAATAAGATCACCATGTATGAGTTCAGCCAAAACCAAATCGTTATCGGTACGTTTGGTATTGTGTGCAGGTGGTGCAAAACTGCACCACGGCCCAGATGCCGGGCTACGAGAGAGGGAGCGATATTTTAGATGGGGGCCCCCATTTCATGGCTTGCACTTGGCCCATGGCAGCCACGCGATGCCAATGCCCCGGCATGGTCTGAAACAGAGTTCTTCCACGCGCCCAGCGCTCGTGCAAGACAAGGCAGTGGCGCTCTGTATGCGAGACGCATGTGGATTATTCTTCATCAGTTGAAACCGCAAATGTTAACTAAATGTTAATGAGATGAACGAGACTGTACGGATGAGACAGAATAAACATGGCAAACCGTACAGATGAGATTAATACAAATGTAAGAGTTTTAATTGTGGACACAAATGCGAGCAAATGTAATCGTATTCGTGACGGGAATTGGTTACTTGGTCGGTGTGAGATACGGAATCGATTTAACTGATAACAAACTCAACTCTGTGTCCGACGATACCCATAGAAATTTAAATCCGACGCCTCCATAATTATATAAATTATTTTATATACCAGCTCCTTTTCAGAGGCAGCCTGGCCACGGCTGTTAGCTTATCTACGTGGCTTGTATTATCACACGTGGATAATCATCGTGGCAGACAAACACTCGAAAAGCACGTTTCTCATGTGGAGGGTGAGACCGGAGGACCCCGGATAAAAACCCACCCAACCAAGGGAGAGAGAAAGAGAGAGAACTCCCCAACTCCAAATATACAACAGACATAGTCAGGGTCGGGGATCGAACCCATCACACTTCCTGCGTACCAGGAGAGAGAGAGAGAACATCTCGCCGTTGGTGAGTCACCCCCTCCCTCTGTGTCAGAGAAGGTTGCCACTCAACGATAGCAACAAGTTTAATCCCGTCACGTCTGTCTCCACTTTAATGTGGTTTGATTTATTCTATAGAGTCTGCACTGCATGTGAGCCCGGGTCTCCCGTATGGCTACAGCCCGACAGAGACGATTGACACCAAACTGTAATTCATACATTGTGCCTAAAGAAAGGAAAGCCGATTACAACCATGTTCTCGATTAATAGATGTCAAACGTTTAATCTACAGTCTATAGCAGGTTAAATATGAGTTATGGTCAACGATAGTTCAGCCTTTGATGTTACATGGCAGGATTGAGAGGTAGTGGTGGCTTTCAGATGGCTTAATCAAACAGTGAATGGAACATGGCTGATGATGATCAAAAGAAGACAATGTTCTTAGGCAATTTCCCCCAAAATGACATGTAAACCGGAAGTTACATAAAAAACTCGCATTGAACACGTACTAATATTTCCATCCATATTTATTATTTGTAGACATGTATATATTGTTTTTCACATTCTCAACAAAAATACAACGGAATATTTTTGCCCACAGTTTGCCGGAAGTGACATTTTGATGAACTCCTACGGCTATATTTTTTTTAACCCGCGACCCACGTTGATAAATGTACATATTTTACATGACGCCGCCGCGAAAACTCTGCAATGATCTTTCTTGGCACTCTCTCATTCCGTGTCAAAGGCGTGACCGTTTATCAGGTCTCTACAAACCCCATGGCTCCCCTGTAAGCAACGAGAAATAAAAAAACATAAATATATTTTTCAATCACACAACAGAAAGAGGGTCCCAACTTTTTGATACATTCAGTCCCCCGGAAGGATTGTCAGCCTCTATCAATACATTAATTGTCCCATTCACTCAGCTGCAAGGATCGGCAGTGCTTGCGCGTGTGGACAGCGCAGCATCGCACTGGGGTTTGCCCTTCATCTGAATTTGCCATCGTCCGTTGCGGTGGCGATGTGTTTTATTGCGATGGTGGCGATGTGTGTGCTCGTGTCGGTTATTAAGGTGGGGGGGGGCAGAAGCATAGGGGCCGTCCATAAATGACGTCACGCGATTTTGGCCGATTTTTGAACCCCCCCTCCCCCCCTCGTCACACGGCGTCATAAAGTCAGACCCCCTCAAATGACGTCACAAAGCTCTGCCCCCCCCCCTCCAAAACATATTTCCATTTTGAAAATAAAACATGCTTCAAATCACTTTAAACTATTGTCATTGTAGTGCGTATTTAATGTGGCGCTGCACTCTGATGTTGTAGGAGAAAACATGTATTTAAAAGGAGGCGTTGGAAAACTGAAAATTAGAAAAAAATTAATTTGCAAATATTCAACGTCTAACTAAAACTGCAGATGTTCAGAATATTATATTGAAAATCTCTTATAATTATAAAAGATTAAAAGTAATTATAACTATAAAAAATACTTTAAACTTTGTAGAAGAACGAAGCAAAATGGAGAGTATAATTATAACAATCACATATTAATTTCACAGAATGAAAAGCCCTGGTAGAATCATTAAAATAAAATTGTTTAATAACAATCATTCAAATTTTTAAAAAAATGTATGCTTCTCCATTCTCCCATGGAGAAGCAAAATGCTCCTTTATGGAATAAATAAAAGGTGACCTTTGTACATTTTAAAAATCAAATAGTAAATAATGAAAATTAGTGAAAATTAGTGTTGTTATAACAATTATATTGTTTATATTTATTTAAAGTTGCGCATTTTGATGTGACGTCACAATTCTCAAACGCCCCCTCCCCCCCTCGTTGCGTGACGTCATTTATGGGCGGCCCCATAATGGGTAACACACTCCACGAGGAATCCGGTGACCCGAGTTGGATTTCCTATTTACGGCTAACATCTAAATATTTAAACCAGTTTTGGGCCTCACCTAGGTAAACTCAGCCTTAGATTAAGTACCTGGTGAAGTGTGTAAAGACTAGCACTGGGGAGACAAAGGCAGCCAGGCGCGGATGCTTGCCACACCCCCCCCACCCCTTGTGCCCTGTCTTGGCCTTTATAAGTGCTAACAGCACTTGCCTCAGCAGTCTGTGTAGGTTACACAGGAGATCTTGTTTTCGTTGTGTGTGGTGATCATTATGAGGAACGTGATGGTGATTTTTGTGGTGGTGGTGGACGTCGTGGTGGTGGTGGTTACTAGGCCCACGATTCTATGAATTTTTGCAAATTGCTTCACGAATAAGGTTTTAGCCTCGTTTAAATTCTCTCCTTTGTTCGGTCTTATTTGTTCTGGCTCCTCCTTCCAATAGTCCAAAGGTAGCATATTTACATCTTCACAAATAACTGAATTTTGCACAATGGTTACGTGCCTAGAGGTTATACACGTAGAACTCTAGTGCTGACGTACAATGCTACTGCTGCTGTTGATAAGTGGAGCTAATGGTCACATTCGAGGTCAGGGTGGAGGTGAGAGTGGTTAGGATATTTCTGATAGTGATGCTCGCATCAGTGTTTACTCTGCTGGTAACAATGGCAGTGATGGTGTTTGGGTTTAATGCTACTGGTGGCGTTATTGGCAGCGGTGGTAGTGTTGATGCTGGAAATGTTGGTGGTGTGGTCGCGGTGGTCACAGTGGAGATAATGGGGGTGTGGATGCTTTGGATGGTGGTAATGTTGGTGCTGCTGGTAGTGGTGGTAATAGTGATGGAGTTGATGGTAGAGTTGATGTTGTATGAAGAAATAACTCTTTCTTGATACAGCAATCGTGCTGTGATGGTTCCACCTGAAGACGGAAGCTTGCGTTGCCTCCGAAACGTCGTGATTTTTATTTAATTTTTATTTTACCTTTATTAATCTTAATTTGTTACCTACGTGACTTTACCGAAAAAAACCTAAGAATACGAATCCTTGCAGTCACGAAAGCTTCAAATCTAGAATTAGGAGTTGATGTTGCTGGTGAAACTCGTGCTGGCGATGGCGTTGCAGACGGCTTTGTTAGCGGCTCCAAGAAGTGTTCCGATGCGGCTCCTTGTTCACGAACATTTAAACCAGGTCTCCATCATCGTCACTCTGCAGGCAAAAGGGTTTGGATGAGTGGGTCCCAGAGAGAAAAAGTGGGGCATGCACAGAGAAAGCCACAGTCCCCCTTTCACCTCCACTGTTTCCATCTAAAACTGCAAAACAAAAACACTTCTCCCTTCCGACTCGTTTCTTTGCACCGCTCGACGTTGGAATTCCCGGCCTTCGTCGCTTTGCCCAAGTAACTTCTCATACATCTCGCTCAATTCAAGGAAAGCATTTTGCTTGTCTGCAATAATATCACGAGTGTCCTATGTAGCTTGCTGCTTTCTCTTGTAGTCAGTTGCGATGGTTATAGGCCTGTGATTAAATTTTTGTTCATTTTTATAAATCAATGTCATTATCATTATTATACCTGGACCATCGTCACATACCTGCCAACCCTACCGATTTAAGCGGCAGACTGACAATTTTGAACATTGTACGGCCTACCGAAATGCAAAACAAAAGTTGAATCAAAACATTCTATTTGATTAAAAACATTTAATGACGTGGTATGATTAGCTTTGCAAGCTGGTATAAGGTTTAAAGGTTCGGTCGAGTTGGAACGCATGTCATCGTTCCTCCATTATCATCATCACTGACGCCATCACAATTTCATTATCATCGTCACATATACCATCATCACACCTCCATTGTCATCATCATTACATACATCATCATCATGCCTCATTCATCACTGCCAACTACATCACCACACCTCCAATATCATCATCACACACACCATTATACCTCCATGAGCTTTCGATGAGCCGGAGATATTCGTTGTACAGTAGGGGGTACTTTTCGTACAGAATGAACACCATTTGTCCGACCTGAAATGAGACAATTACCATCACAGCATGAATGCGAGTCACAGATATGCGTCACCACGTCATCCAAAAAAATCAGCAAAATAACAAGGTCCGTGCAAATCACAACCTTTCACGCTGGCTTGACCCTCGGCGCCATCTGCTGGCAGCGCCGTCCGTCTGCGACCCATCCTCACTTCCTCCTGTGCCGAGGCCTCTGGCAACCTTTGACCTTGCTGGGGCAAGCGCAGAAATTGGTCTGGCTGACCGCAGAGCGAGGAGTCCTCCGAGGGACTGGTCCCGGCACCATCACCGCCGCCAGCGCCAGTGCCACCGTCAGCATCACCTGAAATTTCTGGCCGCCCGGGTTTAGACCGCGAGTCATCGTGTTTGACGACTAGCGGCCGGGACGAGCGGCGGAAACTCGGGTAGCGTCCGAAACTCTCCGTGGGTCTCCGAAGGGAAACGTGCTGCTGCATGGACAGGTCTTGCGTTCCACTGTGACTCCACGACTTCCTGATCTCCTGCCCGATCACAGATGGGCGCCTGGGCTGTGCCATGGCCTGCGAAGAACACGGCGAGTTGTTGTTAATGCCATCTCACTCACTCGCTTAGCGGTGTCCAGATCTGATCCCAATTTGCCAAATTGGGTCAATTACTGCAGTCGCAAAGAACAGCGAACGCATTATAACCATTTAAAAAACATCAGCGTGAAAATCGTTTTAATGGATTAATTGTTTGACGCATAGCGAGGACGAACACCGTATGTGGTAATACTCACATCATCGGCACGGCAGATTCGAAACGTCCCCTTACGCTTCTGCTCCAACCGGGGTGCCTCCTCCTGGGCCTCGCCGACAGGAAGTGACATCACGCACTGCAGGCGACGCAGGAAGTGCTGCACCTGCCCCAGGATTCTCTGGAAGGCCGGCTCGGGAGCGGTGTCCAGGTCTCCTACTGTTGCGTGGGTGTCCTCGGATGGCGGAGAGATCATGGGCTGATCATCGAAGCCCACGAGGATTTCTGGGGAGGGATAGCGGATGAGGCAACGGGGATAGTGTTACGACATAGGCGCGGAACAGTGTGGTGGGAGCAGTCGGTGGTAGTTGGAGAGGTCAGTGTGGTTTGGGTGGTAGATGATAGGTCGCAGATCCCATCGTATCCGTTTTTTCGTCACAAGATTCGTCAGTATTTTTGGCATTGGGAGCTCTTGCATCCCTGATTGTCTTCAATTACAACAGGATTTTTAAACATCAATTTTCATAAATGTGCTATCGATGTCATGTTATGGGATAAAAAAATCTAATTGGAACTCACAGAGTCGTGGATTCACCCGAATAGCCCATGGAAGGAGATATCACAATACTACTGCTGAAATCTCCTCAGGTGACCTGTTAGTCACTCGCAACAACCAGTATGGTGAAGTATGGTCAAATAACCCTCAACACGAACCACAAAGTGGGGAGAGGTCCTCATCCAGCGATAGGAAGGCAAATGGACCATGCACACACACACGCAGTCGTAACATCGACACTGTTTTTTGTGACACAGGTCTCTTTAAAAAGCAACACCTGATATTCACCTCAATGGGCTCCCACCTGGACTAAATAAAGATGTACGACTGGACGCGACTACATGTACTTTCATTTGGTCCACCTGGACGGGAGGAGGGGATGATGGGGGGGGGGAGGGGGTGGGGTGTGCGGTGGGAGGTCGCGATTGTCGGCGAGACGGGGAAGGCGGTGGGGGCCCACCCCGCGCATCCGCGTGGACTCACCGCTGGCGAGCGCCTCTTCCCGCTCGTGCGCGTCCGGCTGCCACCCCGGCGGGGCCTCCCAGGCGGGGCCGCCGCCGCTGTACCGGCGCAGCACGGTGTGCAGCTGTGCGGGGCTGAGTGCCGGGAACGCCTTGCGCAGGGACGACCACGAGCACTGGAGCGATCGCACGGGCAGACGAGAGACACGCGCACAGCGCAGACGCGGCGCGAAGGGACGGGGCTCGTTTTATTGTTTTACGACGGCGAAGGGTGTGCAGGTTGCTCACGGAAATACCGGGCTAAATGAGGAGTGCCACTGCCCCTCAACAAAACCCCGTTCCTGTTCAGGCCAAATTTTGCCTATTTACAGCTCGTAATGTATTTATGCATCTTCATTTGTGTTATAATGCCATAAAAAAAGCAACGAAGCCTGTCATTATCAACCCTCCAGCACGAATAGCAGTTGTGCTATGGAGAGATTTTCCCCTGACAAGGGAATCTGCAATTTCTACCGCTGACTGGGGAGCTACTAACATATGGGCGGCACCCAGATCTGTTTTAATTTTTAAATGTTATTATTATCATCATCATCATCACATGAATGGACAGATGGACAAACAACCAAACTGCTAGAGAACTCGACAGCAAGACAAGCAGACAGACAGCAGACAAACATATAGCCAACCATACAAGCCAAAACAGACAACAGCCGACCAAACAGGCAGACCTCCAGAAGAGATGGGCAGACTAACCATCAGCCAGCTAGACAGACGGATCAACAGACAGCCCAACCGACTCTAAGTATGTACGTTTAACAACTTCTTTCCCACCATACCAGGGGTGCAGTAGACACAGAAACAGACGGATAAGTAGGGCCCACCCACCACTGCCAGCTTGGCTGGCCCATTCACGACTCACCTTGGCGAGCTTCGCGGGCGGGTTTGCAAGCAGGCGCGATGCGGCGAGTGCCGGTGCGAGGATGGCGTGGGGCTCCTGCCCCAGCTGTGTCTCCGTGCACCACGTGAGGAGGATGCTCACGCTGGCGTAGAAACGCACGTCGGGACGGAAGCCGCGCTCCAGGCCTGCGTGCGGTTGCCGAACGAATTACGTTATGAGGTCGCGCTGATCGCACGCAAAGTGTTTCACCCACAAATTATCCACGATAACTTCCTAATCTCGTCAAGGAGCATAAACCATCATACGAGTTCTGGTCATCCTGGCAGTGGTGGCTTTTTGCTGGCCAGCGTGCAAAGATGATCACTCCATCGCGCCCTTTCAAATGCGCCTGTGTGGCTGTCTGGAACGCTCTTCCTTCCGATATTAGGAAGCCACTGGAACGATGCACTTTTGAGAACAGGTTGGAAACAAATTTCTTTAGAACTGCTTTTTAAAGAAATTCGTTTTTCAATCTCGAGTGGCCATAGGCAGGGACACGTCATGAGAACAACTCACGGAGTGACAACAAAACTATGGAGTGGAGGCCGAGAGAAGGGAAGAGAAGCCGAGGGAGGAAATGGCCTTTTCCCAGCAACAAAATGTTACAGGCCGACAACAACAGCCACCGGATCGTGATGGCACAGCCGAGATTAGAACACAATCAGGGAACAAAAAATACACAGCCTTTGATTCGCACCTCTCTCCATGAGCGAGTTGAAGATGAGCGCGTGGGAGAAGCGCAGCAGGTATCCGGCCAGCTGTGCCGACAGTTTCGCGTCGACGCCTTGCCACGCCAGGAGGTCGGAGGTCACCTGGAAGACGGCCAGCACAGCCGCCACCTTGGGCGGGCCCTCCTGGGGCCCCGCGGCCGGCCCCTCCTGGCCCGCGCACGTGCCCTCCAGCAGCTCTGGCAGGACCTGGTACAGGATCTGTGAGGGCAGAATTTCAGCCTCTTTAGTGAGAAAATGGTGTCGTGATTTTCCGTGATATTCCTCATCATGGAATACCATGGGATGACCTGACTCAGATTGCTATATATAGCTCAGTGGGCTTTACCTGGTGAAATAAAAAATAGTTTAATATTGTCTTCTTGGTTCTTTCGGTAAAGTCACGTAGAAGGGAAGTAATAAAATAATAAAAATAAAACATAATAAAATAAAATAATATATTATTATATTTTAATAAACATAAAACATAATATATTTTAATAAAAATAAAACATAATACAATAAAATAATATATTATTTTATTTTATTATGTTTTATTTTTATTATTTTATTATTTCTCTTCTACGGGACTTTACCGAAAGAACCAAGAAGATGAATCCCTGCAGTCACGAAAGCTTTAAATCGAAGTTTAATATTGGTTTAGTATTTGTGTGTTTTGTCACTGAAACGTGGCGACGATGTCCCCCACACACAGTGCATCCACCATCATTACCATTCCGTAGCCTGCGCCCACCTTAAGGCTTTTGCGTGCCCATGTGGGGTCATGCCCCATGGGTTTGAAAACCGCTTGTCTAAGAAAATGGGTCTCTACACTTTATCTTTGGTTGCGAAATGGTATTATGGTCCACATTGAAATGTGCGAGGTTCAGTCAAAAAGTTGACGTGAATCATTCACAAGATCCATCCTAATTCAACTCGGGGTTTCTCCTGCGTCGTGGTGACACTCGCCTGCGATCCAGCGCTTTCGAAGCGAGGGTTGGTGGATCACGGAGAGATCCGTGAAACTCCCAAACCCGCTGGGCTGCGGAGTGGCCAGGAGATGGCATCACATGCAAGGCCATTTCTGGATCCATCGGCTACCGCCTCAAGCCCCCCACAAAACACGACGAATCGAGAATAACCGGTTGGTACGCACGCAATGCGACACATCCATCATAAGCATATTTATTTTAATCGATACACCCTTACATGCCTAGGAGATTGTAAAAATGTTTTGACCACTCGTACGTACGAGTATACTGTGTTCGCACAGACGAACAAAGCGTCAGTCTTGAAAGACTTCAAACACCGCTGCAGTTAAAGCACCGCCAGCAGATGGCGCGTGTGTGTGTGTCTCTGTGTGTGTCTGTGTGCGTGTCTGTGTGTGTCTGTGTGTGTGTCTGTGTGTGTGTGTCTATGTGTGTGTGTCTATGTGTGTGTGTCTGTTTAACAGCAGAGGTCTCACTCCGAATCAGTCGAGCGGCAATATCTTTTCATCGGTTGCGTAAACGCTGTGTGGAAGCTACCTGGTCTGTCGCTTCGCACGAAGCCTCAGGTCTTCTCGGCCACGGTCATTCCCTCCCTTCTCTACGCTTGCGAAATGTGGACCCCCCTAATAGAGCATCTTCGCCGGTTAGAAACATTTAGGCTGGCCTGCCTACGATCCATCCTGGGTTTAACCAGGATGGATTGTGTGAGGAGCTCACAAATCCTTGAAAGATCTGGGCAAAGTCCCATCGGTGAGCTCCTCCGGCAGGCAAGGCTGCGTTGGCTGGGTCATGTAGCCCGCATGCCCAGCCACCGCATACCTTAACAGCTTTTGTTCGGCCGGATCAAGGGGGCTAAACGGGAGCGGCACGGGCTAGAGAAGAGATGGAGTGATGTGGTACAGGAGGACGTGGATCTGAGTGGACTTGCCGATGACTGGTACCAGCGGTGTCAAGATCGGCCTCTGTGGAAGAGGCTCGTGAAGGACGCTACTGGGCAGTTGGAGGCAGTCGCCCTTTAACAACAACGGAGGGCGGAGGAGCGATGCTCACAACAACGAGCAGAGCGCCGGGTGGCTAAAGCACAGCAAGTTGGCGCAGTAGGGGGCACAGGTGGTACATCAGCCAGTCATCTCGGTCATCTCAGTGAGTCGACCCGTGGCACCTGGGTCTGCCCCGTGACCTCCTGCCAGCGGGCGTTCGACACTTCACGTGGCCTCAAGGTGCACATGGCCTGACACAAGCGTCGTGGTGACGTCACCGCCACTTAGTGGCGAATGGCGGTTGTTGTTGTTTTTGTTGTCTGTGTGTTTGTTTGTGTGTGTGTGTCTGTGTGTGTGGGGAGCCGTAGTGCAGCGGTTAGCGTGCTGCGCTATGAACCCGGCGACCCGGGTTCGATTCCCGCTCACGACCAACACCAGTGACGATTATCTGAACCGGTCCCGGGCCTCCCCTAGGTCGACTCAGCCTCAAATGAGCACCTGGTGCAGTGTGAAAACATCGCCACTGGGGAGACAAAGGCGGTCGGGCGTGATGCTGACCATCCACCCCCTCGTGTACCGTGCCGGCCTTCATAGGTGCTCGCTAACAGCACTTGCCCCTACAGTCTGTTAAAGCTATACTGGGGAAGCTTTGTCTTTGCGGATGTAAATGACCACCAAACACTTTGCAGTTTACAACCCTGACTCAATTACAGGAGCAACCAGCTCATTTAACTTCAAAGCATTGGCTCAGTTTAAAGGGGTGTGTTTTCATTTCCCCACCTAGGTAAGGACAACTTCAAACTTCCTGCGGGATTTGTTTTTTAACACTGAAAGCACTGGACCATAATAAACCAATCCCAGATTTAATTCCCGCCCTAATGCATTGCACGGACCACACGGGGTTAATCATTGCGGCCACTTGGCTGCCCATCGCTGGACGATGACTCCGGTTTTAAAAACCAAACTTTTTTTTTAATACTGTGACTGCCATAGTCGCAGCTCGGAAAACACTCGTGTGTTATCGAGCTGGCTTAGAACACAGAGTTATAGTGGGCTGATGTTTCGGGTAATGTCCCTTCTTCAAGGCACATGGGAGTGCAGAGAGAGTGGCCAAATCGACAGTTACAATCACTGAAACGTCCAACGGGTAATGAACTACAGGGGATGGATAAATGTAATAGAAAGTCACGTACAAGTTCCCGAAGTAACCAGGGATGTCTGTAAGAGAGACACGGCTGTGAACCACGGCAGGATGTGCATTACCTAGGCAGCAGTCGGTGAAGGTGGGGAGATGACGACGTTGAAGGAGAGGAAGATGAATGGGTTGGAATGCTTTCGAAAAGTTTTTCCACAGCTACGTACGGTGTGAAAGAAGTTCAACGTACATACATATCTGAATAAAACAGCTGTACTCCTTGCAAATGTCAAAACCTCGTGGATCGGATATAGGCACTGACAAAGAAAACTAAACAAAAACTTCTAAAAGAAAATGTTCCAAAAAATAAACAAACATCTTATTGCAGAAAACCAGGGAGAGAGACCGGTGCTAATGATGTCATTGAGAGACGTGAAGAGGAATATGCAAATGGTTCAGAGAAGGCACACATGCTTATAAAATACACAGTGTTGACTGTCAAATGTCAAAATATAGCGTTGACTCTTCTTCTTGGTTCTTTCGGTAAAGTCACGTAGAAGGGAAATAATAAAATAAAAATAATAAAACGTGATAAAATATGTTTAATTTTTATTATTTTAATGAAATAAAACATAATAAAAAATGTTTTATTTGTATTATTTTATTATTTCCCTTCTACGTGACTGTATCGAAAGAACCAAGAAGATGAATCCCTGCAGTCACGAAAGCTTTAAATCGAAACAGTGTTGACTGTCAGATGTCAAAATACACAGTGTTGGCTGTCAAGTGCCATTTGACTTGGGCAGGACACATGGATGGCCGGTGGGCGAGATTAACAATTGGGTGGCAAACAGAATCGGAAACGAGCCAGAGAGGATATCCCCCCTCCCCCGTGGAGATGAAATCATCTCGCGTGCATGTGCGAGGTGGACTCTTCCGTCACAAGACTGCGAAGGATGGCGAGAGGGCTTTGGGGGAGGAGGCCTTCTTGCAGCAGTGGATAGATCATGGCTGATGAAAACATGTTGTATGTAATGTGTTCATGTGACCCATGCCACTGCCCGAGGCTGTTGCTACATTGACGACTGTGTTTCACAAATCATTGATTCTTGAGAACTCCGAATCGTGACAATTCACCGCATTGCCGGGGGAGTGGTGATTCAGCCTCGGGGTCTCTGTTTTGCTCATTCGAGGTTTTTTTTTGTTAAACCGGCAATTTCTTCAGTCCACTGATCATTGGCAAAAAGCCATTCCGGCTCCACAATAAACAGGCTCGTTTCATTTCACAAATGAATGTCATATTCTCATCAATGTTTAACCTGGAATTAAGTCAGGGCCCTTAAGCCGGGACCTCTTTACCATGGTGAGTCACAGTAGAATCATCGTACAGCCTTCTACTGAATTAACACCGAGCAGCTCAACCTGCCGCATAAACAGAGTTTATGATAATAATAATAATAATAATTCCCTTCACCCAGAGAAACCTCACCGAGTCTCAAGACCGGTGGCGGCTCCTGCAAAATCTCTCAGGGGGGGAAAATGTCTGGATGATTGATAAGGATAAGGTCCACCCATGCAATGGATAAATTAACAGCTTAAGCATGTAAAGGCAACTTCACTTCTTTAATATTAATGAAAAATAGAGTGACTCTTTTAATACATCTTGTTTGTTTCTATACTCACTATTAAAACAAACCACTCAAGTTTATTTTATTAAAGATTCCACTCGGTGGCAACAAATTATATTGTTGGATGAAACGTGCTTACGTATGATGACGTAAGCACGTATGATGACGTACGTTAGGGCGAGCCCTCCCGGAAGCCATAGAGAATGCATTGCAGCGCCCCCGTTCGAAAAAAAACATCTTTGAATGTAAGTCTATGGGGCCACTCGGGGCGATTCTCAGCCGGAGTGAAATCGCCCAAAAAGAGGCGGTACTCCACAGAACGTGACATGATGCTGATTGGACTATATCCAGAGGCACAGTGACGGCTAGCGTGACTCTGTGGTTGAATGACATTGGTGGTGCGTCGCCCAATCGCCCTAATGAAGAAACCGCCCCTGCTCAAGACTCTTTTTCAGGAGGGTTCCATTTCGGAATGCACGGCCAATTCCGGTGATGTGCATTTGGAACGTGGCAGAAAAACTGGTATAGCTGGAAAGATCAAACCCGTCATGCATATGAGGAGGTACACGACTCAAAGCTCCATTTCCTGGCCACCTCATAGCCCAAGCCCCAACACCTGATATTCTGAGATCAAAATGATAAAGCGCTTGACGAGCGCAGGCTGTACAACTCCCTTGAATGAACCTGATAGTGGGCAGGGTTAGGGCAAGCTCAGCCTAAAGTTCTTGCCTTAAGTTTCATGCGACACACTCACACATATACAATCCCTATCATTCGTGACCCAAGTAAAATGCCTAACATGAAGTGCGATGTTGGAACGAATAGAAAGCTCGCTTGTTAGCCTGCTACCAAGTAACCAGTATACATATACGCTCTATTGGGCAATATAATGGGTATCATTCTCATATTGATGACTGCTCGTCATAGTGTTTGTAAAATCGTGGTGGAGCCAGCTCCATTGGTAGCAATGGGGATATAGGTTTTTTGGGTTAGATCGCGTAAATATATAAATGTGTCGTTAAACCCGCCACCACCCGACAGACAATTGGTAAGGTTTGTCACGTAAACAGAACGCGGCAATTTGTTACTAGTACAGCACACCGGTGTTCATATTTACACGATCTAACCCAAAAAAACCTATATTATGGATGATATTGGTCGCGAAAGCCTACGTGTTAAATCTTACGTAGAAAAATCAGTCACTATGGAATATGATAGCCCAGGATTACGAATCACAGCCACAGTGAACTCAGTTCCATCATCATCATCATCACCACCATCATCATCATCTCTGGGGTCAGTAAATTGATGGAGGCTTCACTACTTGGTGCTGGAGTAGTCAACAGCGGTTGCACTATGGGGCAGACTGCTCCTTGCCATATGAACGTGGAATCACCATATCTAGCTCAAAACCGTCAACGGAAATAAGCACTCGGTCCCCAAAACTCATTCAAGCCTGGTGTATACCAAGTCTTCTTTTGTTTTACGTGCGATAGTTTTTTGTTGCTTATAATTTATTTATCCCATTTCTAAATCCACGGCGTGGAATTTGAAGGGCCTCCCCCTTAGCTACTCGCTGCATTCCTCTCTCTCCTTGGCAACCGTTGCCGAGGAGGCCGCAGCATTTGAAACTGACGTGGCTGGGCTGATGTCATTATTGTGCGTGTCTCTGTGAACGGAATACCATTACGGCTCGGCTCCCTGCCTCTCGCGTAGAAAATGTGCTCCAGGGCAGAGCAACATGTGGCTACGGTTAACCTTCACCCAGATGCGCGTGCTTGTCTGCGATTGTGTGTGTGTGCGAATGCCCTTTGAGTGAAGTGAAGAATGTTGTTTCATTAAAACTGGAGGAAGATTGTTTTTTTTTACAAGCGTCACCACCCTAATGACATGGATTACCATCAACATGACCGCTCTTATTACCATCGTGACTTTCATAAATAGCATTAACGTATGGTTCAGAGAAGTAATCTTTAAATATCACAATTATCATCCTGACTATTATCAACACCATCATCATGAACATGATCATCATCATCACATCCATCACGAGCATTACCTGCTGGATCTTATTATGCAGTAAACCCAGACTCTCTCAGACTAAAGAGGAATAACCTCTGTGGCATGAATGTCCTCCCCCCGCCAGCAGCCCCCCCCCCCCATTGTCCCCACCCGTATTCCCAATCAATCCCCACTCGATTATAAAATGCAACGCAAAACAAAAACACGTGACACACACATTTACTGCCTCTGTTGGCAAGGCTGCTGCGATGGGATCCAGTCATCCTGGCACAATGAGTTCTTCACACAAACACACACATATACAGTGGCGGCTCCTGCAAAATCTCTCAGGGGGGGCAAATGTCTGGATGATTGATAAGGATAAGGTCCACCCATGCAATGAATAAATTAACAGCTTAAGCATGTAAAGGCAACTTCACTTCTTTAATATTAATGAAAAATAAAGTGACTCTTACAATACATCTTGTTTGTTTATATACTCACTATTAAAACAAACCACTCAAGTTTATTTTATTAAAGATTCCACTAGGTAGCGATAAATTATATTGTTGGATGAAACGTGCTTACGTATGATGACGTTAGCACGTATGATGACGTAAGCACGTATGATGACGTAAGCACGTTAGTGCATGCCCTCCCGGAAGCCATAGAGAATGCATTGGAGCGCCCCCGTTCGAAAAAAAACATCTTTGAATGTAAGTCTATGGGACCACTCGGGGCGATTCTCAGCCATAGTGAAATCGCCCCAAAAGAGGCGGTACTCCACAGAACGTGACATGACGCTGATTGGACTATATCCAGAGGCTGACAGTGACGGCTAGCGTGACTCTGTGGTTGAATGACATTGGTGGTGCGTTGCCCAATCGCCCTAATGAAGAAACCGCCCCTGCACATATATAGACCAGACTTCCCAAGGGCACCCACTTTTAGCAAGCACATCAGCACATCTTGGAGTGGTATGCACCTGGGCTAAACTTGACATCAATCCCATCTCATTGAAATTACACTTTGCTATTGGGCTCTTTTGTCCAGTATTCTTGCCGGCGTTTGTAATGTACGAAGAGTGAGTGATTAATAGGTCATCAGCACGCAACGTGATTGAAAGATAAACATGCCCTATGTAGCCTTTAGAGGCTGTTGGAGCAAGCGCTGTTTGCGAGCACCTATTGATGCCACCACATTGGACGATCACATGGTGCAGCCATTACTACACCCAGGCGCCTTTGTCTCCCCAGCGTTGATGTTACACAACACTCCAAGGAATTATTTAACATTTAGTCGACCTTGGGGAGGCCAAAATCAGTTCAGATATACATTTCGGATATTAGCTGTGGCTGGCAATAGAACTCAGGTGACTGGGTTCGAGACACCACTGCTCCCCATCAGTCACACGCACAGCCTTGTATGCACATATGCACGCATCGTGCGCACAATTAACTGACCTTGCATATGTAGAAGGCGTACTGCTGGAAGGTGTAGAGCACCACCTCTTCCAGCACAGACGCCGCCTCCTCCATTGCCTCCACGTTCTGCGTTTCATCGTCTGTGCACAGGCATTCAAGACATGTGCGAGAAAGAGAGAGAGCCTGGTCTCGCTTATCGCTGTTTTGCTTTCGGGATCAGAACCCGATTAGAAGCAAATCTTTTTACAGCCTTTCCATGACTGCCGGGAAAGCACGCTGGCTCGGTCCGTGAACCAGACTAACCGGCCCCAGCCCGCACTCTCATGGCGGGCCTAGCAGGACGATTTGGCTCCAAGCGGTCTGCTGATGTGAGCTCAAGAGCTCCCTTCCGTAAGGGAACGGTGCGCTTTCACCTGGGCTGCCCTTGGAACTAATTGCGACACCAAGGGGTAAACTCACATATTGGATTGCGCTATCAATCGTGGCAAGATGTTAACTACATCGCCTGGAATGAAGGAGGTTGTGGCTTCGATACTGACCCTGACGCTTGTATATTTGAAGTTTGAATGTTCTCCCCTTGGTAGCGTGGATTTTTCTCCGGGTCCACCGGTTTTTCCCTCCACATTTAGAAACATGGGTTGAGAGTATATGGCTGCTCAAAATTTGCACGTGATAAGCCACTGTGCCGAGCTATCATTTGTGGCCAAGTCGCTTCTGAAAAATTAACCCGTAAAAACTAAGTTTTTCACTATAAATCCTTTATATGCGTGGCATCGGGGCGGCTAGAGTCCTCTCGTCCTCTGGCTTGAGATGGCTGCCACCTATGGGTCAGATGATTGTGTGCCAGCATTAACCAATTGGTAAATAAATGTAATTTTTTTTCCCTAAACAGTGTAAAATTTTGGAAATTTTTTTTCACAAAAATTCATTGTCACGCACAACGAGTCTGTGTGCAAAATGTCAGCTCGATTGGATCACAGGAAGTGGGTTAAAAACGACCGAAAGATTTGCACGGTCCTAAGCAAGCAAGCGAACTTAATATAAAGGATTTAAAAAGAGCTATATAGCTCAGGGGGCCTAACCTGCTAAAATATATTTTAAAAATAGTTTAAGTCTCTTGTCCAACCCAACTTTGGGGCCACATTTTCTTTCATGACAAATAAAACTTGTGCTTTGAAGTTGCTTCTTGTGGCTCAGGAAGTTTGGGAACGCAGATCAGAACTACGCTGTTGATCCTGGAACGGCCCAGAACCGGTCCTGGAAACCAAGCATGGCTCAGCCAACGGTCAAGGGAGCATTTGCCTCGTCCATCACTGCAAATCTGACAACATAGTTGTGAAGGTCTGTGGTCGATCCAATATACAATAGGTAGAGAATGTATGACTTTGTTTCATTGCTAAACAGACTGCAATCCCTCTGGGATGTCTGTAATAACCTGTAACAATCGAAGTATGGGGGTATGCTAAAGCTAGGTGTGGAACTTCCTTATTATGTATATGGGACCTTTTTGCCAGTATCAAAAATGATGAAAAATAAGAATAGGTTTTACCCTTTCTGGCAATAAAACAGTTGTTAAAATGTTCAAACACCACATAGAAACCTTTTGCAAGGCATCAAGTTTGCATTAACCACACGTACTTGTGGCAAAACATGCACAGAAACATGCTCTGATAATTTGTGCATTATTATACATTTCTTATTTTGCATTAATGCACGTAGAACTTCTGTCGCACCGTACATAGCCAACCGTGCTAATCGGAGATGCGAGAGTAAGTAACATCGCAGGGGCCTGTATCTCCATCTGAAGTGCCGGTCAAGCAAATGCAGCAATGGGATGATAGTTGGCCGAATCAACGCCTGACTGCAATTAGAACTCACGGCCTTCCCACAGTGGGTCCAGGAGTGTAATCATAATAAAAAAAACTCCTTAATTTATCCAGGAAACCTTTACTGAGCCTCAAGACACTGTTTTTTTCTCCCAGGAGGCTCCTGAATTGTGATGCTGGGCTGGTTAATTACTGAACGTTTATGCACGTGGGAGGAAACAGGAATTCCTGAAGAAGCCTCATGTCTGTTTCATTGCCTCGTTGTTATTGTTTTGATGTCTTGTTTTGTTTTAATTACTCTCTGTGGTTTTAGTCCGACGATGATGACAACGACAACGTTTGCGTGCTGCCTGCACATGCGCAAGCATGCCTATGTGTGCGTGTATTCGCGTCCCAACGCGTGTGCACTCCTGCGCGTTTTCCATGCGTGCCTGCACGCCTGCCGTGTGTTTGTGCCAAACGAAAAAAAACACAAAAGATAAAAAGGAGACGGTAAACTAGACCAGAGAAATCGTGCATACACATGGGTTGTGTAATGCTTAGCGTTGATTTAGCAAATAGAGAAGCTGATAGGTAGCTGTCAGGGCAAAAACGCACTCGCGGACATGCACGTGTATGTGTGCGCACAAGCAATATATATGTACAAGAACAGAACTTGTCCTTTTTGCGCTGGATTATGTCTCCAGGTTTTGGGAAACTCTCTGATCTATGTGGCCGGTTTTCAATAGGATAGGTAACTAAGGCAAAAACCTTCCACTACGACCCTGTAAACATGCAACGTTGGGTCAACATCGGCATGTGGTTGCAACCGTTGAACCGTTGGCCTAATGTATCATGTTTACTGGTAAGTTTGTTCATTACACATTGGAACATCTAAACGAGAGATTCATGCACGCCCCTGTGGTGTATGGACCGACAACGCAAACGCATGAACGCATTTGGATCTACGGTTGAAATGCACCTTACAAAATCAAATGATACTTTTATCATTTGGAAATCGTAACAGACAAGGCACACACGACTCGATTAAATCACGACCCCAAATCCGAGGCGCCTCGGGGCGAGTCGCCACGTACGTTTGCCGGTAGCGGCGATTCGCGGCATTATTAATTTTTCGATTTAAAGCTTTCGTGACTGCAGGGATTCATCTTCTTGGTTCTTTCGGGTAAAGTCACGTAGAAGGGAAGTAATAAAATAATAAAAATAAAACATAATAAAATAATTCTCACGACGTTTCGGCCACAACGCAAGCAGCCGTCCTCAGGTGAAGACCAGGTCTGTCTCCCCGACAGACCTGGTCTTCACCTGAGGGCATTATTAATGTTTCGTTCGGGTGTGCGGCGTTGCGCTTGGTCGCGCCGCTTGGCTCACCTGCGTCTCCGTGGGCTCGCGCGTTGCCCCGCGCGAGCCCCGGCCCAGGGTTGCGCAGGAAGGCCAGCAGGTGCAGCGCGTTGGCGAGCCAGTGGGCGACGGGCTGCAGGGCCCACACGAGGCCCGGCACCTCGCTGGCGCTCACCTGGCTCTCCAGAGAGCTGCAAAACAAAGACAAAGATCCCCCACCCCCCGTAGAGCATGAACAGACTGTTGGGGCAAGTGCTGTTAGCGAGCACCCTATGAAGGCCGTCACGGCGCACGAGGGGGTGGGGTGGCCAGCACCACAACCGGCCGCTTTTGTCTCCCAAGTGATGATGTTTACACACCGCACCAGGTGCTCATTTCAGGCTGAGACGACCTAGGAGAGGCCAATGACCGATTCAGATAATCGTCACCGGTGTTGGCCGTGAACGCAATTCAAACTCGGTTCATGGCGCAGCACGCGAACTGCAATACTGCCGCTCCACACCGAGAGCTGCACACACGTGCACAGCCACACAGATCTCCCCCCACCCCTTTATAAGACTGTTGGGGCAAGGGGCTGTTAGTGAGCGCCTATTAATGGCGAGGCACGTAGCCATCATTCACAACCCTGAGTCCTTCCGCCTCCCCACTCACCTTTCAGGATGCTTTTCAAGGAAATCCTTCGTGTTGTCCTAAAACGAGAGACAGCGAAGGCACATTAAGGAGGCAGCGAGCGTGTTGCAGGCCCTTGCAAGCGAGCCTCTGTCGAGGTTCGCGTCGTGTCGCGGGCTGCGCTGACCGTGCGAATGGATGCCAGCCTCCATCCACGTGCCTCTGTTGAACGTCATGAACCGTTTTATAAACCCGGGGGTCACTCTTGCAAATGAGACGGGGGTTCTCTTTTGAGTGCTCACCAGGGTAAACAAAATAAACCTGGACTTGTTGAGTTTGAGTTCGCAAGATAGTGTGAGGACTGCTCTATGGTACAGTTACAAGCAGAACGCCATTCTCTATCTCCAGGCGATACAGAGTGGAGTTCTGCTTATATTTGCTTTTACCCATGATTCTCTGTAACAACCACAACAACAACAACATGATGAGTCTGTATACGACATGGCAGAGTTAAGTCACTCCGTGACCAGTCTCTCCATCAACAATGATGATGTTAGGGAGTGGTCGTTTCTCCAGTTCAGATCGGCATTGATCACCGCCTCGGGTTTTGTTGTTGCAGGTGACGCGAGCGAGGTGATTAATTCACAGTTACATGGAGGAAAGCAGCAAAGGCCTGTGTATTGTACCATTAGGTCCGGCCAGACCTGTTCTCCTGGGAGCCTGCATGGATTTATTGCCTGGGAAAGCAGGGGTGAAGGTCACAGACTGCCTGACCTGAAGCCACAAGCACACCTCCGTATGACGGTGGGCGCTGGTGGTGATAATGGTGGTGGTGGTTTTTAAGTCACTGATAGACTAAACTATAGAGTTTACTCACACGTGCAACCAACCAGTTTGTTCGTGGTGCAACGTTCCTTGAAAACCCTGTGCTCGTTCTGTGCAATATTCACGTTTGTGTTGCTGTGCTCTTCGTGTAAAATAGCCAGGCAGCTGGCTAAAACGGGATCATCCGTGTGACAAAAATACAACTCAACTAAGCAAACTGCTTTGTGAATGATTATGATGATAGTGGCTGGGATAAGGGGTATGATGATGGATGATGATTATGCCTGGATGATGCTCAATTGGGTGGAGCTCATTTCTATTGGCAACTCTGCTGTCAGTTGTTAACATTCCCATGACAGCAGCCAGCCAGTCTCTCACCATCACAATGTTGACTTCCCATACAGCGGTGCCAAGGTTATTAGCTCACAGAGGATGATGGGCGAAGTCGATCCTCGATCGAGAACATGAACTAGCGTCCTGCCGAGTTTTAGCACTCCAGCCAGAGTCGTCTACTTCATAACATTACGGTGCTGCAAAGAGACAAAGGTCCTTCTCCTGTAAGGGGCCGTCCATAAATGACGTCACGCCATTTTGGACGATTTTTGACCCCCCCCCCCACCCTCGTCACACGGCGTCACAAAAAGTCAGACCCCCCCCCCAAATGTGACGTCACAAAGCTCTGCCACCCCCCCCCCCAAAACCATATTTACATTTTGAAAATATAACATGCTTCAAATCGCTTTAAACTATTGTCATTGTGGTGCGTATTTAATGTGGCGCTGCACTCTGGTGTTGTAGGAGAAAACATTTAAAAAAGAGTCAATTTAATTAAGTAGAACGTGTTGTCTATATTATTTAAAGTTGCGCATTTTGATGCGACGTCACATTTCTCAACCCCCCCCCCCTCGTCACACATTGTCACAAACGTCTGACCCCCACCCCCCCCAGGTACGTGACGTCATTTATGGACGGCCCTTAACCTAACACAGTCTGTTGGGGTCTATGGGAGGGCAGAGCACCTATGAAGGCCGGCATGGCACACAGCTCTATGTCGGGGTGTGTCAGTGAAGGTGTTGGCCCTTCCCATCGTGTTGGGGTTTTCAATTTACACCTCGCCTCGTCTGTTGGGGGCAGATAACAGCGCAGGGAGGATCACGGGTGCTCACAAACACTGCCTTTAATAGCACCCACGGCTGGGCGATCATTAATGTCAAGTAAACACGGCACGGGGGCTTCACAATGTTCTTCACAGCAGCTGTGATGGAAACGTGCATTGTGCGCCGACTGTATGTGGACTGTGTGTGTGTGTGCTTGGGTCGAGCGGTGGCACAGTGGTTAGCGCACTGCGCCCTGGACCCAGCGACTGTTTTTAAATTACCGCACAATTAGCGAGCGTTATACTCGAAGTGGCTCCTGGGTCTCTTCGAGGTAGACTCAGCCTTAAATGAGTATCAGTCTGTGAACATCAGCAGTGGGGAGACAAAGGCGGCTGAGTGGTGGTGGCCACACCACTCCCACCATTGCTGACCAATTGTACGTTTGTATGTATGCGTGTACGAAACTATGAATTGTGGGTATTAATTATCTCACGAACGTGGGTAACGACGCACACGAGCAGTGCTGCCTGTGTAAGATCCTACCAAATCGACGGGGAAAATTCAAGTAGCAATTAAGAAATGTTGACTTAAAACTTTCGTGACTGCAGGAATTCATATTATTTCGTTTTTTCGGTAAAGTCACGGAGATAGAAAAATAAAAATAAAGTGAATACTGTACTGGCAGTCTATAATAGTCGACTGTAGCCTGGTTCTATAACCTGTAGGTTAATGCACCCAGCTTAATAACCATTGCTACAGCCTACATTATAGACTGCCAGTACACTCACTCTGATTAAGAACCAGGCTACAGCCTACATCAGTGGTTTTTGTTTTGTTAATATTTGATTATTTATTATTTTTATGAAATTTATTTTTATTATTATTTTTCTATCTACGTGACTTTACCCGAAAGAACCAAAGAATAGCAGTGAAGAAGTCAGAAAGAGAATGAGACATGGGTGGGGGGCAGGGGGGGGGAAGTCAGTCTCATCGTCAAGGATGAGAGACTGCAGTGGCTCAGACATCGAATAACGACGGATCCCATTCAAGAGGTTTCATGAAAACTGATGCGATGGAAACCCACACAGGGGAATCGGAAAGAGATGAAGGCACGGGCCCAGACACCTCGCGCCGATGAGAAGACACGGGACCACGGCCGCAAGATGCAGCAGACAGGGCCTTGGCACGATGATAAAAATGCAACGCTACTAACAGCAGAGACCCGCAGCGAAAGATCGCCAAAAGGTGGTGGGGAATTTGCGTGATGAACAAGACGGTTGGCTACGTACGATGCGAAAGAAGTTCAACGTGCATACAGAAAAACATGATGACACCCGGATGCTGTAGGAAACAAAAGCATTGTGAATAACACGAAAGAACCAAGCCAGCTGCCACCACACGCTCAAGGCTCTCACAATGCAACACTCCTGGCTCCCCCACTGAATGTTCACGTACACACACACACGCCGAATGCCCGTTACGCAAACACCACCCGCGTTCTCAGCACACTGCTAATTCACGAACGAGATGGCAGCAGTGCCATGTGTTTATAGCCCCAGTGAGTCATTCCTGTGAACACTCGTTATAAACTACCACACCTGGCCATACATACAAGCGTATTATTGTAATTGCTCAAGGTAACCTGTGTGTGAAATGGGTTACATATTAATCGTGTGACTATTCAGATGATGTTCTTACGTCACTTTGGGCCCGAATCATCGCAGGGCCTTTGTCTTTGTGCCCCTCCGTTCATCTGTCTGTCACCCACTCGCCCAGCTATTTCTGAGCCTCTTTGTGTTTGCACCTCCAGTGATTTAGCCAGGATTTAAAACTTGGGGGATGTAATGGGGTCGTACGTGCGCTCAGAGGTCCTTTAGACATCGTACGACTGTTCATTAGTGTGACTGTCCGTCTGTTAGTCTACGAGTCGAAATTTACCTACACCACCAATATATTTGTATGTTAATTAACTTGTCCAGCCATCTCTCCATCTTCCTCTCTGTTTGTTCATATATCTGTCCCAAGACATTCCATCCATCTAATCTGGCTATTCAGCTGTCTACCCATCCATTCGTTCATCTGCTACCTGTCCATATGTCTGGGTCTAATGTTTATTCGTATGCCTGCTTGTCCACTGATCGTTCTATCTACTATCTACCTGCCCATGAGTCTTTCTTTACATCCTACATCCATCCAATGGTATGCTGATCCATCTCACCGTTTGTCCATCTGTCAGACTTCCATTGTCTCTTAATCTGTCTCTCTGCCCATTCATCTTGTCCATCAGTCTGCCGTACAAATTGTTAATTCATCTACCTGTTCATCCATCTGCCTGCCTATCTGCAGGGCCATCCAGATATTAATAATACAATAACAATTTGGATTAATATAACGTCTAAATGTGACCACAAATCAAGAAGCTGAAAGAAAGAAATGACCATCGATATATTTTCAGCCATCCATCTGTCCATACGTCTATACTTTTATCCATACTTCTGTCTGTCTATTCGCAAGAACTTCAATCCATCTGTCCATCTGTATCTGCCCAACCACCCATCCTATCCATTCATCTTCGTTGACCACCTCTCTACGCGTCCACGCGTCGTCCACGCATCGTCCACACCGTCCCACTCACCCACGCGGCAGCCTGCATGCGACTCGCCATCTTCAACATCAGCCGGCGCATCTCGGGCGCCGAGAAGCGCAGCGCCGCGTGGCGCATGCACAGGCACAGCAGCCGGGCGAGCGCGAGCGGAGACGAGCTGCCCGCCTCCTCCTCCTTCTCCCCGCCGCCGCCGCCGCCGCCGCCAGCGGCAGCAGCGCCTCCTCCTCCACCGCTGGGTGGCATCTTCAGGATCTTGTGCAGCAGCAGATCCTCGCTCCAGGGCTCAAAGCACAGCACGGCCGCCGAGCGAAACCTCGTCTCCTTAATTTCCGCCGGCAAATCGTCCCCGTCATCGTCGTCATGGTCAACTTCATCCTCCATTGCCACTCCGTTGCACTGCTGCCGCGGCAGTTGCCGCGGTTTTGCCGTGACGACGCCGCCCGGCGGGACGTTGTTCTGGAAAGAAGTTGACCCCGAGCTGCCCGTCCGCTCGTCCGCCAGAGCCGAGTTGCATCGGTGGCACAGTCGGTTTCTCTCCCCCGTGGGCCCCGTTTGTCCGACAGCTGCTCCGCTGCCTGGTTTGGTCACCACTGCCCCCCCATCACCGGGCCCGGGAAGGGCGACCCCGGCGGGCATGACGGTGGCGTCGGTGTCCGTGTCGTCCGACGAAGCGGTCTCGGTAAAGACGGACACCTCTGCAGGATGACAAGACGCATCGGAGGCAACGTAAGCTGTGGCCGTGCTACGTTGCCCACGGGACTCGATGAATGGGTAACTGTCCATAGGCCAAATTAACGCCGTTCATCCTGACGCACTATCAAAGTTACATTTAAATCAGGGCCCCATTATTATTATTCACTTCATCTCTCTGCCCTCTGTTATGATTAAGGGCATTAAGGGCTATTGGCCACGAAAGATCACACATTGTATAATCTGTTCTCTTTGGGGCAACGCAGTAGCACGATGTTTAAAGTGAGCATGGAGCCATATCTTAACCCCCCCCCCCCTCCGCAGTGATTCTATGAATTGTCTCGATGGCCAGGGCTGTGATTTGATCGTAGAATCTCACGAATTTACCTCCTCATTTGTATTGTTGCTCATTATTTCGGTCTCATTTATTCATCACAGTTTTCGAAACGTCGTACTCAGATTGTAAATGTTGTGGCTTGGCTCTTCAACACACCGGTGTGCTGTACTAATGACGAATTGGCCACGTTCTGTTTCCGTGACAACCCTTACTAGTTGGCTGTGTCGGGTGGTGGTCAGTGCAAGTTCGTAAAGGCGTGGGAGCACGGATGTGGGAGCGTAGAAGTAAAGTACAACAATGGATTTAGCTGCACTGAGACCAATGGATCACTCTGCTAGGCCAGTGTTGTACATTCCACATTTCTAGGGCAGAGGCATACATCTTTATTGACGTCCCACAAATCGGTGGTTGCCGTGGGTGGCTCAGCTCAAGGTCAATAAAATCACCGCCACTCTGTGAGAAGTCTCGCACAACAGACAACGGCCAGCTCCTGCTACAGGAATGTGGAATCTCCACGACGGGTCCGAGCGCCGCCCAATTGCTCTGCTGAGCAAGGGCATATTTCTATTTGATATTTACGAAGTGGGCAAACCTGTCCGTGTGGGTTTATGCGCGCCACAAATGTAGAACTCTACACACCCTCAGTGAGTGTCCCCGTGTGTATTTAGCCAGCAGAGCGTGCTGCGAGGCGCATTCCTCCACCGAGGCAGGCAGCGTCGCACGCCTTGCCAGCCCCTGCCCTCCGGTATTTCCCCTGCCCCACAGAGACACTCTCTTCCCCATCAGCAGCAGCGTGGACAGAGTACTTGTACAGGAAGTTCAAGTGAGACCGCGAGTGTCATTGCCTGTGTATTTCTGTGCCTGTGTGTCAAGCGTCTCTGTGTCTCTGTGCACACGCCACATCAGTGTCTCCGTACCGTATTCATTCCCTCATTAAAATGCAAATCAATTTATAACATTTTTGACATGCGTTTTTATGGATTTTTGTGTTGTTATTTTGTCTCTCACTGTTCAAATAAACCTACCATTAAAATTATAGACCGATCATTTCTTTGTCAGTGGGCAAACGTACAAAATCAGCAGGGGATCAAATATTTTTTTCCCTCACTGTATGTTGTGTATCTGCGTTCCTGCATCCACGCCCATGCATCCGTGCGCACGCGTGTCCTTGTCTCAGTGTCCACGTGTGTCCTTGTCTCAGTGTCCACGCATCCATGCGCACGCGTGTCCTTGTGTCTCAGTGTCCACGCGTGGCGAGTACCTGCCGGCCCTGTCGTGGCCCTGAGCTCCATGCCCGAGCGCCGTCGGATCTGGAATCGGCGCGAGAACCCGGGGCTGGGCCTCCACAGCGCCTGCAGCTCCAGCGGCCGCTCGTTAGAGGCCAGTGCGCGCACCGACTCCGGCACCCACACACGCGCCTCCTGCGCACGCGGCACGGACAACGGATCCCCCGTATAGTCTACAAGGAAACTGCTGGGTCAAGTGCTGCTGAGCAAGGAGCTGCCTGATAAGGCTGGGGCTGACCATGAGGGGGGTGGTATGGCAAGAACCGAGACCAACTGCCTTTGTGCCCTCAATGCTGATGCTTTCACAGCGCAGCGCACAAGACAAGTTCAGGGTGAGGACGTGTTCCTCGGGTCGTCGTGTTCGAAGCGCAGTGCACGAAGCACTGCTCTGCTGATCCACATTGGTACACAAAGACTAAGATCCCCCGTGTAGCCTGAACAGACTGTAGGGGCAAGTGCTGTTAGCGAGCACCTGTGAAAGCTGCCACGGCACACGAGGGGGTGGGTGGCCAGGACCACGCCCGGCCGCCTTTGTCTCCCGAGTGGTGATGTTTACACACCGCACCAGGATCTCATGTGAGGCCGAGTCGAGGGGATGCCCAGGACGGTTTAAGATGATCGTCACCGGTGTCGACCACGAGTGGGAAACGAACCCGGCTCGCTCCCCCACAATCATAATCGCCACCACCTCTACCACCGACAACCTCACATCCACCGCGACCACCACCTCCCAGCACAGGCCCACCTCGGACGACGTCCCCTCCGACCCGTTCCCATCCTCCACCCAGGCGCACTCCGCGTCCTCCAGGCGCCCGATGGCGTCGCACAGCACGTACTCGTGCGCGCGGCTCGGGTCGAGCCCGTACCGCGAGAGAGCATCCTGGGGGGGGTGGCGGGGGGGACAGAGAAGTCGTTGTCGTCATCGTCATCGCACGCCCACCGACCACCAGCCTCCTGCACCATCGAAAACTCGCGTGCGGATTCGTCGCGAGTCGTGCGAATTCCATTTGAATGCGGGCAACCGGAGTTTCCCCGAGGTGGAGGTGAAATCCCGAGGGTTCTCCAGTGGGATCGGCGATCTGGTAATTCATCGTTCAGCATGTTCACGTTGACCCACATCCGTCACCAGCAAAGTGAGCATTGGACTATCGGACACCTCCGACGTTGGATAAATTCATGTTCATGTTTTGATGTTGAAGATCTCTAATATTCGGCAATGGATGCTCCTCACCTTGAGTAGCCAACGTGAGCCACATGCAATCGGAAGGTTGCAAGTATACATCTCGGTGGGGAGGGGGTGAGCGAGATTGACTCATCATCCCTACAGGCAGGGGCGGTTTCTTCATTAGGGCGATTGGGCGACGCACCACCAATGTCATTGAACCACAGAGTCACGCTAGCCGTCACTGCCAGCCTCTGGATATAGTCCAATCAGCGTCATGTCACGTTCTGTGGAGTACCGCCTCTTTTTGGGCGATTTCACTCCGGCTGAGAATCGCCCCGAGTGGCCCCATAGACTTACATTGAAAGATGTTTTTTTCGAACGGCGGGCGCTCCAATGCATTCTCTATGGCTTCCGGGAGGGCTTGCACTAACGTGCTTACGTCATCATACGTGCTAACGTCATCATACGTAAGCACGTTTCATCCAACAATATAATTTATCGCCACCTAGTGGAATCTTTAATCAAATAAACTTGAGTGGTTTGTTTTAATAGTGAGTATAGAAACAAACAAGATGTATTGTAAGAGTCACTTTATTTTTCATTAATATTAAAGAAGTGAAGTTGCCTTTACATGCTTAAGCTGTTAATTTATCCATTGCATGGGTGGACCTTATCCTTATCAATCATCCAGACATTTGCCCCCCCTGAGAGATTTTGCAGGAGCCGCCACTGCCTACAGGGTTAATACAACTAGCACCGTTTTGTGGGAAAGTCAGCAATCGTGTTCATATGGAAAAACCCTCACCATAGGAATGTGGAGTTTCCACCACTGGCTCAGCACTGCGTCCAATTCTACTTTAAATTGACCGTGGTCTGGATGCGTCGCTCTAGTGCCAGGAGAGAGTTCTCTTACGCATATAACACCAACATGACCTTTAATGCTTTGTCAAAAAATATTTGAGCTCGATGGCTGCTGCAAAGATGATGGCTGTGTACAGGTCATGAGCAGTGCACAACAGCATTTGAATATCAAGAGACATTATCTCATGACGTATAGGAGACAGCAAGGAAAGACAAAGTCAACGAGCACCTATATAGCCTTAACAGACTCGTTCGGCAAGTACGGTTCGAGAGCACCCATTAAAGCTGGCATGGCACACGAGGGGGTGGTGTGGCCAGCACCACACCGGCTAAATTTGCCTCCCCAGTGCTGATGTTAATTACACACCACGCCAGGTGCTCATGTAAGGCTTAGTCTACCTAGAGGAGGCCAAGGATCGATTACAATTCCATTTAATAATTGCCACCGTTTGCCGTGAGCGAGTTGCCGATGTTGTGGCACAGCCCGCGAACCACCACACTGCAGCTCCCCACAAGCGTCAATAAATACAGACACTAAGGCAAAGATCTCCCGTGTAACCCACACAGACTGTTGGGGGCAAACACTGTTAGTGAGCACCTCTAAAGGCCGGCAGAGCACAACAGCAGCGGGTGGGTGGCCAGCACCACGTTTGCCCGGCTCCCTTTCTCTCCCCAAAGCTAAAGTTTACACATCGCACCGGGTGCTCGTTTGAGGCTGAGTCGACCCACGGGAGGCCCAAAACCGGTTCAGATAATCGTCACTGGTGTTGGCCATGAGCAGGAATCGAACTCGGGTCGCCGGGTTCGTAGCGCAGCGCGCCAACCTGCTACACTATCGCTTCCCACCCAGACACGGATCCACACACACGCAAAGACGCACACGACAAAGACACAGAGACGCTGGCGAGAGGCTCGCGAGCTCCTTGCGCCCACACACTCACCTGCACCAGCTGATGGGCGCTGCTGTCGGGCGACGTGAGCACGCCCTTGTAGAGCGTGCCGCGGCTGATAAGGTCCCCGTAGACCCTGACGACGGACGGCTTCGACGGCAGGAGCCCCCCGTTCAAGCCGGGGGACGTGGAGGGTCCGGGAGAGACCCCCCTCGCATCCCCCGGGCCGCCACCGCCATGCAGGGAGATGTCGGTCGAGGAGGAGGAGGACGGGTTGCGACCCCGGGGCAGCATCCCCCGGATGAAGCCCAGGCTGTAGCGCTTGTTCTGCCCTTGCCTCGCGGCGCTCTGGCCCGAGGCGGCCGGCTCGCTGAGGGTGCCCGAGCTCGCAGAGGAGTTGGACCTGTGGTGCGAGCACGAGGGCCTGGTTAGACAGACGCCGGTGGTGCTGCTGCTGCTACTGCTAACGATGGTCGACGGCGGCTGGGCGTGGTGCTAGCCACCCACCCCCTTCGGGTGCCGTGCCACCCTTCATTAAGTGCTCGCTAACAGCACTTGCCCAAAATGTCTTTTAAGGCTTTAGGGGGGATCTTTGTCTTTGGTGGTGGTGGTGCATGCTGGCAATGGTAATGGCGGTGGTTTGATAGCAATGGTGGTGTGCTGGTAGTAGGTGCTGGTGGTAGGTGATGGTGGTTATCGTGGCGGTAGTTGTGGTGATGTGATGTTGGTGATGGTGGTAGTATCGTGGCAATGGTGGTGTGTTGGTGGTGTGCTGGTGGGAAGTGGTGGTGATCGTGCTGTTGATAGTGCTGTTGATAGTGGTGGTCGTGGCGGTTGAGACAAAACGCATTGCCTTCACGTACGCAGATGACCGAAAAGGTGAGACAAATGCCAATGATGTTTAAGCCACGGTCTTCCTTCACAAGCGTGGCACACAAACTAGCCCGCCCTTCTCAGATATTATTATTGTCAGCAGCTATTGAACGAACCGTTCCAGCACTTATCCCCAGGACTGTTGATGTGTACCTCATTTCTAGGCTTACTTTGAATATCCTCTAGCTGGTTCGATGAATTGTCACAATTCTGGCTCGTGATATGAACCAACAGTTACAACATATAGTTTTAACACCATCCGAGTGCCTACAGCAGTAGCGGCAGTGGTCACACTAACCGCACTAGTTACAACTTACAATTGGGTAAGCATCGATTTTGACGTGCACAATTGATTTCAGCTCACGCACCGTCTCAACCCCGACGCGCCATAATCTACAATTAACCTCTGATCACGTGTGCCGCTGGCTGGAGACGAAGCATCAGCTGACCTAATAATCTCCACTGTTGCCAGCCTATCTGGGATGCTGCCGTGCTGTGATGGTCAGCAGCACTGGACTGGCAATCCAGAGGTCCGCCGGCTCGCTGAAGTTGAAACAATGGGGTAAGTTTCTTGAACTCCACCACCCCCACTGCCCCTTGTGTTCACCCAGCTGTGTAAGTGGCTTTAATCACTACAGTCGACAGGCAGGTCCCCTGTGGAGGGGCAAATTGTGGGTACTCCACCACCAACCTCTTACGAGAAGACATCTGGCCAGTGTGGAGGAGTAGGCCAAAGCACACCCAAGAGCTCTTCTCTACAGAGTCATCTGCCAACACGTGACCAATCGATCACAGGGCTTCATCATTGCCTTTGACCGATCTTCTATCTGTAGAAATGTTTCCAATTTATCTCTATGGATTGTACGGACCTATCTCTAGATAAGACATATGAATGTTCGTCTCTGGTTTCCTCACATTCATAAAATAAAGTCAAGAGAAGTGGCTACATATCGCGAGCAGGACCATATTTCACACAAGTCCCGAGATTCAGTGCGGGTTTTCCGTGTAAACAAACGACTTGCTCCGACAGGATTAAACAAATCAACGACCACACCTATTCGCGTTAAACAGTCCGATCCAAAGGTACTGTATGTTTCTATAGCATTGATAAAGTAAATAAGTACATGGACTAAACACAGAAGTTAGAAAGTCAGAGGTCGGCATATATCCCTGCTCAAGTGAGCGTGGGACAGTGCTCAGCTCCACTGGCAGCCCTAAGCTAGCGTTGCGAAATTCCACATTCCTATGGCAAGGACCAGTCCATCTATGCATAGCGCTTTTCCAAAAAGCTCAACTAGTCTTACCATTCCCAGATAGTCCGAGTGATGCGTTGAGCTGCTCCCCCCAGACACACAGATGAGTTTACAACTCTTAAGCGAAGTACGAGACAAAACAGATACAAATCATAACGTGAAGCGATGTTACGGAACGCGAGCACATGAGCCGACCTTGTCCAACGAAGCTTTGCTCCGCGAAAGACGTTCAGAGCGTTATTCCTTGAACCGACACCCACCGAGTCCGTCGGCGTTCGAGCGATTTGCCGGTGGGCCTGTCCACAAACACCCGGCGAAGCCCAACACCACCACGACGCTCTCCGTCCTCCTCGGTGCCCGTGTCGCGTATACAAACGCCTCGAGAAACTAAACTCCGAACCGTGGGTGTGTGTGCGAGCACACGCACGCACGCGCAAGGTGTTCAGAGCGAGGGTGTTGGCTGAGCTATGGGCCCGGGTGCCAAAGGTATGTTGAAGCTTGCGGCAAATTGACAAAATGTTGTACCGACTTGCAAGTGCATCGGCGGAAGCCTCGCCCTCAAGGTCAGGGCTGCAATCGGAAGGGGAAAGACATCTCTGCCCGCTCCTGGACTAAAGCGTCTTTGAACTGCGACCAAACACCTCCGACTTCGGAGAACGGTGGTGGAAATTCCACATTCCAGTGACGGTGCCCAGGCTCCACTCCTGACTTAATGAAGCGGCCGCGGCCACCGCAGACTTCTCTACAACGGAGTAGACGTAGCCTCATGGGGCGGTGTTCATTTTTTTTTTACCATCGCGGAGGTTGGGATGACGACAGCGATTGATGGCGATGACAAATGTGAACTCGTTCCGTTACCAAACACCTGCACCTTGCAACGGCTGCCAGCTTAGTATCGGAATGCCAAGTCAAGGGTCTCCCTGCACAACTGAACGTGCGGGGGTGGCAACTCCACATTCCAAAAAGCGGCACTTGTATCATGGAGCACGTCGGATGCTAATCAACGGTGTTGTTCCCGTGGATTGACATGGCGCCTGTCATAGAGACGTGGGATTTCTAGCAATGGCTAAGGGTTCCTCACCCCCATTGCTTGGTTGAGCAGGGAATCATTGACTATGAAAAGTGAGTACAGTAGTCGCCTGATTGAACAAATTAACAACGACACACACACATACGCACAATAACACGAAGATTACACACAGGCACCCAAACATATATACACAGACAAACATACACAGATGATATACATACAGATAGCCGAACACACACCAGCATGCAGGCACACACAGAGGTGCCTAAACACACATAATACAAACACACAAATCACAAAGGTACCCAAATACAGACACACGAAAACACATACATACGCAGACACCCACATACATAAACAATACAAAACAATGACACCTACCGACACACGCTTTACACACGTAATTACCTACAAGCATCTATTTCTGTGCCAGCTATGAGCAATATGTCAATGCATGAGAACCTAGTATTAGATCATTGGGTAAACGTGGTTGGGATTAAGACAAATTTAGGATCTCTGGAGTTATATTTGTTTACACGATGTTTAAATGTTCACACTGGCTGTGTAACCATTAATGTATCGCTTACACGTCCAGTTGTTCAATAACAATTTGTCAATAGTGCAAAGACATTTTATTGTTTTCAACGGCTAAAACTCACGTTAACAATGTCGACCTTTTATGTCAAGACAGTATTTTGTAATCTCCAGTGCCATGCAAATTCCTCTCATTTGCAACCCTCTTATCAATGACTCCTATTATTGGTGACCGCTGAGGTCCGCGAAAACTCCTATTAGCCACCGGCCCTATTATCCTTATTATCCACGATTACCAGCGACCTATTGCCTGGGTCTCTGTGGGAATGGCTTCATATTATCCGATTTGTGCGTGGATAAGGGAAGTCCCATGGCAAATTCATCCTATTAGCCACAGGTCATCTGTAAAATTCTACCCCACGGATAAGAGTGAAATCGCAGACAACCTTAAGGTCCCATTACATTAATTCCCCCACAGATTGGGGGCGTTTCTCCTGTAATTGCATCGGAGCAAACACTCTCCCCAAAACTTTGTATCCAATCATAGCCCAGAATCTTGTTCTGATCCCGATCGTAGACTTTCCTAGGTCTGTGATTTAACAAAAAGCAGTGACCGCAATATGCACACGCCAGTCCCTACATAGGTCTATCAAGACTGTGCAGTCGATTGCAATAAAGTTCAACACCAGAACCTGCACCAGATCTCAGTACAAATACATTCTTGCCATTCCAAACGCAAATGCCAATTCCCAGTGAAACCCAGACAAACTCTGAGGTACTAATTTCTCTAACCTGTAGCACCGACTCCTCATCCTCACAAACTCATAATCCTAAACCCTAAATCCCTTACCAAAAACCCCAAACCCCTGAATCCTTATCCCCACTCCGAAATACTAAACCTCGAATACTAAACCCCGAATCTGGAATCGCTGACCCCTAAACCCCAAGCTGAAATCCCGACTGAAATCGTTACCCTAAAACGTAACCCCGACCAGTGCACAAAGGCTAAACCAGTGGCGTCTTCTCATAGACTGAAAGTTAAACAAGTGGGACTCTAGGAGAACCGCTAACGAGTGGTTATAATCAAGGGCAGCTCTATTTGGATATACATCTGCAGGAATCGTAGTGTTAGAGACACGCGCACTATCCTTGGCATCTGTGGGGTCACTAGGAATAATAGTTTCAACTGGTAATGTGCCACATAGTGTGCGGTCACTCACGCGATGTGCGGCCACCAAATTCCCCCCCCCCCCAAAGCTCTGCAATCCTCTACATATTAAGGTGTCATCGGACAATTAATTTGTTTACATGCGGGAAGAAACCGGAGCACGGCGGAGAAAACTCACGCATGGAAGGGGGCAACACTCTATCCCATAGGGATGGAACAGGTGGAGTCCACATTTGTTGTGCAGATTTCTCTTGGCGAGTCAGGGTATCACTCCTCCTCGACGCCGACAGGAAGGGAGTTTCACAACTTGTGTGATCCATCAACCCTCGCCCTCACAGCGCTGGATTACAGGTCACTTGCATAGCAAACCACCACCCAGTATAGGTTGCAATAGTCACTTCCTGATGACAGTCAATAAATCAACCATGGGAATTTATCGCATGATCTCACATAGGAAGCTGCAAAGGTGGGCTAAAAATGAATATGAGCAAAACAAGTTCGCCATGCAACTGAAGATATCTGTCAGGGGGTCAGGAGTGGAGAAAACAAGATACTGTGTTTTGCCGCAGGGCAGTTATGGAAGGAAAACCGGGATAACATATGACTAAATACAGAGGCAGACGAGAGCAGATTGGAGTGTTTTCGAATAACTGAACTTAATGATAAAAAGCAAAACACCAACTGGTCACTATATGAGAAGGTCGCGAGTTAAAATCCTGGTTGGAGGTTGCCTCAGCCCATCATCCCTCCGGGGTCAATTAAACGGGGACCACTTTGTGGAGAAGTCAACAGTGGTTGTCCTATGGATACTCTCGCCCTCGCCTTAGGAATGTGGAATTTCCGTCACTGGCTCAGGAAGTATTTTTTTCTTAGTTTAACACGTAGGCTTTCGCGACCAATATTATACGTAGGTTTTTTCTGGGTTAGATTGCGTAAATGTGCCGTTAAACCCGCCACCACCCGGTACAGCCGATTAGTAAAGTTTGTCACGTAAGAAACAACATGGCATTTGGTTACTAGTCCAGCACACCGGTGTGTTGGAGAGTAAACCCACAGTTTAACTCCGTGTATATTACTTGATATGACATTTGGGGTTTCATTCCAACCCTCGGCCACCAACACCAGCGACGATTATCTTAACCGGTCCCCTAGGTCGACTCGGCCTCAAATGAGTGTACCTGGTGTGATGTGTAAATGTGGCCCTTAGGGAGACAAAAGCGGCCGGGCGTGGTGCTGGCCACCCACCTCCTCGTGTGCCACAGCGCCGGTCTCCACAGGTGCTCGCTAACAGCACCTGCCCCTACAGTCTGTTAAAGGCTATACGTGGGATCTTTGTATGTGTATGAATATGTATGTGTGTATCCATGTGTGTGTATCTGTGTGTGTGTGTATCTGTGTGTATGTGTATGTGTGTATCTGTGTGTCTGTGTGTGTGTATCTGTGTGTGTGTGTATCTGTGTGCATCTCTGTGTGTGCATCTGTGTGTGTATCTGTGTGTGTGTATGTGTGTTTGTGTCTGTGTGTGTATCTATGTGTGTGTGTATGTGTGTGTATCTGTGTGTGTCTCTGTATGTGTCTGTGTGTGTGTCTGTCTGTGTGGATGTGTATGTGTGTGTGTCTGTGTGTGTGTGTATCTGTGTGTGTGTGTGTATCTGTGTGTGTATATCCGTGTGTGTATGTGTGTATCTGTGTGTCTGTGTGTGTGTATCTGTGTGTATGTGTATATCTGTGTCTGTGTGTGTATATCTATCTGTGTGTCTGTCTGTGTATCTGTATGTGTGTATGTGTGTATATCTATCTGTATGTGTGTGTGTGGATGTGAACTCGACACTGACCACACGGAGCTGGCGCTGGGGCTGCGCGAGTGGCTCGAGCCCGGCGAGTCCGCGGCGGCGGCGCGCGGCGCGTGCGGCTCCGCGGACATCACGGTCCGCATGGCGCCCTCCGCTCCCCTCTCGCCTCTTCCTCCCTCCCTCCCCAGAGAACCCCCCCCCCACCCCTTCCTTGCTTACTTCTACAGACAGCCCTGTCCCCCCTACACACACCGCACTCTCCTCTCTCCTCCTCCTACAGACACTCAGGGTCCTCTGGGTCCTCTCCCGTGGGAGCAACTCCCGTCTTTCTTCTCTCTCCAGACACCCCTCGACCCTGACGTGTCTGCTGACTCTTCCCCTACTCCTCTGTAGACAAACCCCTACTCCACACACACCCTCTCATCCATCTCCTCCTGTCTACTTCCCCCTTCTCCGGATCCTTTATTCTCGACTCGCTCCCCCTACGCTGCTAAAGCTCTCCCCTCCCTCCCTCTCAGTCGCTCGCCTCTCCCTCCCCTCCTCCTCCTCTCCCTGCCCAGCACTGCTCCAGCCTCCCCTCTAATCCTCTATGAATCCACCACGCAGCCAACATCAACTACCCCACGTGTCCCCAGCCTGAGCGACCACATCAACAATTGACCACTCTAAACAGACGACACGGCATAGGCTCATACACTCACCCACAGCCAGTGTTATTCCTATCGAAACAATTAACAATATCACCCTCTATACGACCAATACCATCACCCTTTAGGCTACCAGTCCTATTTTTGATAAAAAAAAAATAGGATTGCGCAATCAATGCTTAACTCTCAATACAATCAATACTATACTACATTTCTACAATCAATAGTATTAGTTTCACTACAAATATATGTTTCACCGTCGATACAATCAATGATGTAGTTACGACTACGAAAATCTCTATACAATCAATACTATCACGGTATATATTCAATACTCTCATCTAAACAATGAATACTATCCTCCCCTACACATCTGTGACACCCTCTACACACAAGAGCCCTGCTCCATGGGTATGGTACGTGTCATATGCTGCCCTGCGTCTCTGGAGGAAGCCACGTGGACCCAACAACCACCCTCTAACCTTCCCCTCGTCCGACAGGATCTACATATAAATAGACGCGC